TTAGGAGTATATCCTCAATATGTACCCATTTTCCTATGAATGAATCTAATTTCTCAGTCTTTATGGCTGAGTAGTATTTCATTTTATAGAAAAACCACATCTTCTTTATCCAATTTCCAACTGATCGGCAAATGGGCTGTTTCCAAGATTTAGCTAATACAAACTGTGCTGCTATAAACATGGGTGCACATGTATCACTGTGGTATGATTCCTTTAATTCTTTTGGAAAAACGTGTAAATACTGAATAGTTTCTCTGGCGTGAAAAGTTATAATAGTACATAAGATCCTAATTAGATAAGTGACCATGTGAAATAGGAAGAAAAGGGCTAAAGGTGTAGGGAAAATAGGAAGGGTAGGGGAAAGGTAATAAGGTAAAAGAAAAAAATATGACAAAATGAAAAAATGGAAATAAAGTGTTTGTAAATGGGGAGGGCAGGAGGGGGTGAAGGGAGGGCATAGACAAGGGGAAAAAAATGAGAACCAAGACCTGTCATGTAAAGGTACAAGATCCCAATAATGAATGTAATTGTACTGTATACCTCAAATGTACCAATAAACTAAATAAAAGGGAAAAAAAAGTATTTGGCACATCTACTGCAGAAATTTCAATAAAACAGCTTATTAAGATTAGTAATTCTGAGTAGCAGGATATAGGTTTCACTAGAAAATATGGGCATAACATCTATGCCTAGATCCTTCAGGAGGACCACAATTATCTACAAATATGAATTCTATGTATATAAATTTCCTAGAGCTTATGCCCAGTCATTTCAGGAAGGCGTTCTTGTTTTTTGTTGTCACCACTAGAATAAATGCCAAAAGACAAGAATTTTGCTTTCTCTATCCCCAGAGCCTCTAATAAATGGAACCTAGCAAAATGAATGCTTTTGTTTGAATCAATATAATAAAGAATAACCTACAACCAATAAGATGTCAATTAAAATGCTCAAGACAGAAACACAAAGATGACATCTCCTTACACACAGCAAAAGTACAACACAGAAATGCTGCCCGAGTTCTAGGCACTGCTCCCAAATACATGCTCCAGTGAAATGTTGGAAAAAACATGCATGCTGCCCTAATTTTATCAGGGCAGTTCAGTCAAGCAACTTCATTCTTTCATTTTCTCTGCATAGAAATATAATGCACCAATTTGTATCAAGCACCGGGGAACACAACAGCACACAGGACTGGCATGGCTGTTACCATCAAGGAGTTTATATCACAGCCCAGCAACTCCATCTACACATGCTGTGTGCTTTCAAAATTCAGACAGTGGTAAAGTTCAGTGGAGATCATTTTGGCCACAGTTCTAGAATTCAGGATGATCCTACACAGGCCATTACCATGACACATGAATTTCTCCATTGATTACTCTCTCAACTCTGTGCTGTAAAATATTACAACCACATCTACATATGGCTGCTAAAATTTCAATTAATTAAAATATAATAAAATTCAAAGTTCGGTTCCTCTGTGCACCATATCCTTATAGTTAATGGTCACCATACTGTACTGTACAGATATAAAGCATCCCATCGTCACAGAAAGTTTGATTAGAAAGTGCTGCCCTAGAGCCAGTATGACCTAAGACCACAACACAAAGTCGTGCAGGAGGCTTGTCAGAAAAGCCGACTCTCCAGCACCACCCCTGAAATTCACAACAGAATTTTGTGGTTTTCTAACTAGAACCCCAGATGACTCATACACATAGTAAATTACAAGAAACACTGCCCGAGCCAGGGATTTAGCTCAGTGGCACTGCGCCTGCCTCAAAGTGCAAGGTCCTGAGTTCGATCCCCAGTACCAAAGGAAAAAAAAAAAAAAGAAAGAAAGAAAGAAAAGAAACACTACTCCAGAAAACAACAATATCAAGAAGTTGTTGTGACAGCATTTAAATAGTTTTTGTTTAATCACAAGTTCCTACCTCTTAAATAAAAGGTCCAACTATTCACCAACTATAGAAATGATCCCTGAAAGTATAGCCTTAAAAGGTCCAACTATTCTATCAGTGAGACAACAACTACAAAAAGTTCCAAGAAACAGTATTCTGTATTCTTGATAAGTTTCTCATTCTTATTGGGGGGTGGCTTGACCATTTTGTCTGGATTTGCCCTCTTATTAGAGAGTACCCAGGGATCCTTGTCAAGGGTCTCTTCCTACTTTATAGCTTGTATTAAAGTTCTCTCACATTAAACAGTCCATGACTTTATGATTACAGGAAAAAGGGCGTAAAATGCTAAAATAACTGCAAATATAAACTCAATCTTTCGTAAAAACTATACAATGATATCTGAACATGGCCCTGAATAAATTACAATGGAGTTTAAAAGGGCTGAGGAGGAGGTCATGTTTCTTTAGCTTTTAAAAACTAGTGTATTTTTAAAGAATGAGAAATTAGAGTCATTCATAGGAAAATGGATGCATATTGAGGATATACTCTTAAGTGAGATAAATAAGTCACACATATGTAAATACCGAACAGTTTCTCTGGTGTGAAAAACTATAATCGTAAATGAGATCCTAATGGTATAATTGACAATGTGAAATAGGAAGAAAAGGGCTAAAGGTGTAGGGGAAGTGGGAAGGGTAGGAGAAAGGAAATATGGGAAAAGAAAAAAATATGAAAAAATGGAAATAAAGTTTCTGTAAATAGGGAAGGGAGAAGGGGGTGAAGGGAGGGCAAGGGTATGGGGAAAAAATAAGAACCAACTGTCATGTAAAGGTACAAAATCCCAATGATGAATGTTAACTGTACTGTATATCTAAATTGTACCACTAAACACAATGAGAAAAAGAAAAAAAAAAAAACTAGTGTATTTTCCCAGAGTTTAAAGTTCATGTTTTTGCATATAATACTTGTGAGGTGTAATTCGTGGATAGATCTAGTCTAGTGAGGAAATAGTGAAAGTTCACTAAGAGTTTAGAATCTATTTTCTATGGGTATATTACAGTTCATCAGATTTTTCAATTCTTTAAAATCATGGCTAACCGAGCCACTAAAATTCTGCTTTCTCTCCTTTCCATGGACAGCGGTTATTTTTAAGTGTCCTGGTGCCTTGTTACCTACTGAATATCAGCAGACACCTTAAAATACTATAAATTCTTATATTAATTTAGCACTGTTGAATGTATAGAAACAACACAAAGGCACACTCCTCTGATGTGTCAGGAAATTCAGTCTCAAAGACAGAGGAAACAGTGACAATTTTGATTCTTTAGTCTGAAATTTCATTAATTAACAAAAGATTCGAAGATAAATATCCAATTTACAAAGAAAATACAAAATCCAGGCCAAGCCAAATGCATTTCCCCTGTAAGTAAGTGTAATGCTTAACTATGAATCATAATAATCAATGAACTTCTCCAACAACACAGTAATCGATCCATGGTTTTTATTCTCCCTGCAAAAGAAAAAATAAAAACTACTAAAACTATACAGGGGGATAATCTAATCCATTTTACTCAGCAATACAAAATATATTTGGCACGATAAAAATAACAGAAAATGAGTATGAGTAATGAGAATTTGCTAAATGAGTAATCTAAGTACATTATATTTCAAGACACACACCTCCTAATAAAAGTCACATTTTGGAGAAGGCTGCAGTGGGCTGTTGAGGACACTGACAGCTCTGAAAGCATGCATATTTAAGGTTTTATGAGCTATAAAGGCCAAGAAAAAGTCTGTCAACCACTACATGAGCTTTTACATGTGCACACGAACAACAGCAAATGTTCCATTAACTGGATGCTCTTCCCTTAGTGATTAATAGTTACAGCTGTTCTTACCACAAACTAAATTTCACATACTAATCATTCAGAACTCAATTTTTCTCATTCAGTTCTACTCCCGGAGGGGAATGTTAGCTGCTTCCCATTCCAGGCGGATTTAGAGGAAGCTCTAAACCAACTCAGCCAGTTTGAAAGAGGCAAAGAACAGCCCATTCATTTTCAAACAAAGTCCCTGCAACTGCACCAAGCACTCTTACTCATCCTGAAAAATAGTAAGGCATGGGAGCTGGATTTGGGGTTATCCTAAAAAATCTGGTTTCCTTATTTGAGCCAAGAGGATTCCCCTGTTTTGTCTTTCATCTATCTGTCATAATGTTTGTTCTTTTACATCCACACTTCCTGTTTCTCCTTTCAGCCTTATCCTGCTCAGTCGCTCCTCTGATTTCACCCACTCTGTCCATTTTCTACTACTTCTTCCTGATTAGGAATCCACACTTCTGAAAATCCAGTTTAAAACTTTTTATCCCTTCACTGATTTCCTTAGTTTTCGATATATTTATAAAAGTGGAAAAGTGTAAGATAATTTCGTAGTCACATTCTTCTGCTAAAGTTAACATGAATGCACTAACATCAGTAAAAACTGTGTCATATATAAAATATTGTAAGAAATAGCTCAGTACTTAAGAAATTAAAATTGATGCTTTATATATGATGTAGTTCTTTAAAAAAACAACTACAAATGCCAAGCAGCTGGAGTTCCTGGCAGTTAATAGTTAATTACAGCTGCGGAGTCCGAACGGGAGTTCCTCAGGACAGATGTTAGGGACAGTGGCAAAGGCACAGCTTCACACAGCCACCACTTCACAATTACACCGAGTAGTTTTCATGCTCAGAGAGCCAGGCTACAAACCAACACAAATTCCAATTCCAAGTGTATCTATGCTTGCAAATTTTATAGAAAGTTCAAAGTTTCCCTGGAGAGACATAAATCTTAAGTTACTATAAAAGTGACACTTTGGACAGACGGGAAAGACACACCCCTGCCTGTACACTGAGGAATTAAAATAGCTGCTCTGACCTTCCAGCAGGGATTCAACGTCAGCCTTGGTGTTCACAGAACACGCCTGCCTCGTCTGTCAGCAGCCCTGTCCTCTGCCAGGCTGCTCGGACACAGCCAGAGGAAAAGGAGTTTGGGTTCTTTAAGAGAAACTCCTCCCCATCCCATTCAGCACCACAACACAATGTCTCTGAAAATGTAGGGACAGCCTGCTTTCCCTCTTTCTGCCTATATAGTACATCACAAATAGGCACAGAAATAGGGTGGCCAGGTGATAGAATTCTGCACTCCCAGGAAAGCTGGTTGGGGGAAAAATGAAGTAAGATTACAGGTAAGAACAGTACTCTGCTTTCTACTTCAAAAAAATACCAATTTTGGAAAATTCAATGTCAGATGCTAAAATAAACATTCCAGGTTAAAGCCAGGTGAGGTACTGGGCACAGGCATTTGGACAGCTGACATCTTTCTGCTGACTGGGGAATTAAAGCCTCGCGGGGCACCCTGAAGGAACGCAGCATGCTCTTCTCTATGGCAGCACTCGGCAGAACCTGGGCTCACCCCAGGAGTCTCCTACTGGGACAGTCAGAAGACAAGACTGGTAAGCAAAAGCAGTCAATCATACAGACGGATAATTGCACAGCAGCATTTTACAAGAGAGATTTATCAAAATATATTCGCCTGCATAGACCTACAAATAGAGGTTACTCACAGAGATTACTGTAGCTCCAGCAGTTACCCATTGATCATAGAAAATGCCCAGTTCATCAGTTTAACGCTTGAGAAAAAGTTAGCTAGAAAAGAAGCGGGCTAATGCAAAATACGCTGTTCTGGTCAACTGGAGGCAAATTAGTTTCAGATCTCCTGGCAGCCCCTTCTGCCCTGCACCGCACACGGTGATGTAAATGGAAGCACTTTGGGCACTTGGAACCTGAGCTGAGAGGAGCTGCCGCCTTGGTCCCTCTCACAAAGGCAGAGCAGCCTGCTCTCCTGCTCGCTGCCCCTCTGCCTCTGTGCTCTCTACCTTGGCAGCTTACCGAAAACAGCCACCGTGGGGCTTTTCTATAATCGTGAAAACTACTTTCAAGGAGATAACTGGGATGCCGGGAGTTGGCTTTAATGTAATCATTTCCCCAGTGCAGCAGCAGGAAGCCCGGCAAAGGCTCCGAGAGGATTGTACCATCCTCAGTGACATCAGAGGTGGGGCTGCCATCTCAGTATTATGCAGCACTTTCTCTGATGCGGGATTGACACATGTGAGCAGGGACGGGCGGGTTCCCTTTAAAGGGGTTTAATTCTTGCGTTATCTAAGGAGAAAAGGGAAACGCAGAAGCCCTGTTCAAAAGCTGCTGGCGAATGACATAAATCCTGCTTTGCCAGGCCTTTTCTCACTGCTAAATGCCGCTGCCATTTAAAGTCGTTTTACTGATGATTACATTACTGCTCCTGTACTAGAATTAATATTTAATGGGTAATTGATAGTACTTAGAAATGTGACATGAAAAGATTCAAAGACATTAACATCCATTTTTTAAAAAACGGTGACACAAACTTTTATATCACTAATAGTACTTTGGATGAAGATAATACTTTTCAACACAATCTCAGTAAAAACTATTAGTTTTACAGATAAAAGTGAGTTGAAAAGAAGCACAAGATAAATAACATAATATTGCTCCACTTGTCTTGGTAAGGGCTGTTGACACAAACATTAAAAATAACTCATCTTCTACACAACCTCAATATTCAAATGCATATGAGAAGCAGAGGGTGACAACACAAAGCAATTCAGAGTCGTTTCCATTCATTCCGTACACATCCACTGAGTGCCAAACAGGTGCTAGAAAATGTGTTTGGCTTAATTTAATGGCCATTTCTAACAAACAATAATCTAATCAAAGCAGAAAACGCTTCCCGATGTCCCAGACACTGCACTAAGCAATTTGACTGTATTAATGTATCTATGCCTACCATCAGCCCTGTGGGATAAACGCATTTTATAGATGAGGCTACTAAAATACAAGAGAGGTATATGACTTATCTAAGACCACACAGCTAAAACAGGCATAACCAGGATTCAAACCTCCAAGGTTCACCTCTTCTACCACTAAGCTAAACTACCTCTTGCAGGCTTCTGTACCAAGAAAAACATGTAAATGGAGAAAACAATTTCCAGGATTTAAAACTACAGCAAACCAAATGTATCTCTCAAGAAGACCGGACCAACCAGCAGACGATACAGGTTACAGAGTAAACTTGAAGAAAGTATGCACCAGGAGAATGGAAATAAGTCCCAGAGGCTGATGTTTAGTCCAGATGTTCCTGTGACTTTGGGCCAATGACTTAAAATCTTTCAGCTTTAGTTCCTTATCTCTGAACCACAGATGTTTAAATTATAGACCTATACAGCTATATGATTAAAGCACATGGTCTAGACTTGTAATCAGGAAGCCATCACTTTCCAATTATGCCACTTTGAGCAAGTTACTTCACTTCTGTAGCCCTCAATTTTCTCATCCAACAAAGTGGGATTTTTCTAAAGATTAAATAAACGATGCTTATAAATATATAAAGCATTCAGAGTAGCAACTAATACACAACAAAAGCCCAGGGTTAATGATTATCATTACTATGATTAACACTAATTTTGGTATTAACTTCTTTAAACTAAAATTGCCAGCTTCATTCCCTTTCAAAAAACCTCAGCAAAAAGAGCTACCCCTGTTTCAGAATTAGCTGAGCAAGCAGGAAGGACACCTTTTGATGTCTTCGTGTAAACATTCACCAATGTGTAAATCACCAGTTCCCAGTGAGATCCATGTTGAAGTTGTCGGGCCTCCCTTGGAAGAAAGCTCTTTATGAGGGGTAAGGACGGGAAGGTACATGCTCTTTTGTCCTCCGTCCTTGAATCTGAACTTTGGAAGCTGAAACAGTCATCCTGCAGGGTAAACATCCCATCCTCTAAGGAAGCAAAACAAAAAGAGCCTTGTACCCAACAGACCTCCTACTCCCTGTCTTCTTCTTTTACAGTGCAGAAAAATAAATGCTAAGGTCAAATTATTTAATACTGATATACAGTTAAAGGCCATAATTTCCCTAGTTTAATAGGCTAACTGGAGGGCTGGGCTATTATCAGGGCTTTTCTGCTGTATTAGGTTTTTTTTTTTTTAATTAGTTAATTTTATTGGTAAGTTTAGGGTAATGACATTCATCACTGAAAATTTGCACCTTTATATAACCCATCTTGGTTTTTATTTTTCCCCATTCCCCAGCCCTCCCTTCAACCCCTCCACCTCTTCCTATCTACAAAGACTTTGTTTCCATTTTTTCTTTTGCTCATATTAATTCCATTCCCCTTTTTCTTTCCCCCTCCCCCTCCTACTTCCCCCTCCCCTTGCAACTTTTCTTCGTATTTCACATTATCTGTTATACCTTTTAGTCCCCCAGAGCCTGCATCTTCTCTAATACCAAGTCAAGTCAATGAATAGAACTGTGGGAAACAATAAAAAGCAAAACACACTGCTTTCCAATACTAGGAGTTATGTCTCTCCAATACTAGAAGTTGTCTTACAAACCAGAGGGTCCAATGAATGACATAATGGCCTGTGAAATACACCTCCTGCTTCTCCTTTTCTCATCTCTGGGTGGATTCATTCTTTCCAATCTATCAAGCTATAAAGCTGTGGTTAAAGGAAAGCTATTAGCTGTCAAGCTAATGTTAAAAGGAAAAAGTAAATTGCAAACTCAAATATAGGAATGAGGACGTTCAACAAAGTTACTGGTACTGTAAAAGTTATGTAAACGAAGATGGTATCCTTAATTATACCTATGAAGAACCATGAGCAAATCACTGTCTGAGCTACACAAATGCTTATTTTAAAAATCAAAAAAGCATTTCACATGTGTAAATACCGAATAGTTTCTCTGGTGTGAATAATCTGCAATAATACAGAAGATCCTAATAAGATTACTGACATTGAGAAATGGGAAGAAAGGTGCTAAAGGTGTAGGGAAGTTGGGATGGGTAGGGGAAGGGTAATAAGGGAAAAGAAAAAATGTGAGATAATGAAAAGATGGAAATAAAGTATTTGTAGATGGAAAGGGGAGGAGGGGGTGAAGGGAGGGCAGGGGTAAGGGGAAAAAATAAGAATCAAGACTTGTCATGTAGAGGTACAAGATCCCAACAATGAATGTAAATGTACTGTATCCCTAAAATGTACCAATAAACTCAATTAAAGCTGGAAAAAATAATAAAATGTGTCTGGAACCCCTCCCCCAAAAAAAGCATTTCATTTTAGGCTTTAGTTAACACTGTCTTTTACTGCCCTTAAAACTCATCATTTCAAAAAGTAAACCTCAACAGTGAATTTGCCAGGTATTTTCTAATCTTCCACCAGCACCAACTCTAAAAATATGTACACAGAATCACCTCCATTTAGCAGAGCCTTCTTAAAGCCAGCATTCATTTGGTTTTGTATTGTTTATACTGACCATGTTTTCTGTATTCCTGGTGCTCTGGCATTTCAGTCTTTTCCAAAGATTTCCCTATGATTCCAAATCACTGAAAGACAGAGCACTAGGCCTAGCAAGGGAGAGGCCTGGGTTCAGTCTCCAACGTGACCAAAACAAACAAACAAACAAAAAAGTGCGCCTGAAACAGAAGGTAAAACCACTCTTTCCTTTCCTTTCCATTTTTTTTCTTTTTAAGAAAAGCATGGCAAAAAAACAGGATGGAACACTTTTGTAAACTGTAGGATATTAACTCTTTTTACAGAGGAAAGAATACAGGGAAAATGTAAGCGACCTGGCCAATAAACAATTAGAAAATAAAGAAAGCACGAATCACCAAAGTTGAAAGAAAGAAAGAAGGAAAAAAGACATTTAGCTGGCAGCCCCTATGAGAATTTATGGAAAAAGTGAAAGAGACAAAACAAAGCGACAATTTTATATTAGGATGAATTTTGGTTCTTTTATTCTTGCACAGTCAGGGAATTTTAACATTTTTCTTTGTTGATTGCTTCTACTAATTTGTTTATAATTATCCTTATTTCATGTTCTATTGATATAAACCATAAACACTTTTAATGAATATATAATATGGTATAAGCAAATAATTTAGTTATTGTGGAATAGTCTAGTTATTTCAAATATTATCCTGATTCTTCCACTGACAAGTGGTTAATGTTATTCAGAATATAACCAAAATACAAACTCCACTGATTCATGTGAAACGCCCTTGAAGCCAGTGATTTGCATCTGCTTTGAACACACTGGTATCCTCATGTGACCAAGACTCTAAGAAACACAAATGTCAACCTTCAAAACCAGGTGAAGGTGGCAAAAAACCCAGGGTGAGCATGATAGGTGAGAACTGTTATGATCAGGTGGGAAACTGCTTTCCTCAACTGCTGGGCCTGGGAAGGAAGCAGACCCCAGTGGTGGTGGGACACCACTGGAGGGAAAGCGAGCCCGGGCTGCGGGGGATGGAGCAGAGCAGTGGGGCATTCACATAGCGAAGGACAAAATAAAGGCAAGTGCTGGGAGGAACCAAATCTCCCTAAAAGTAGAAAACTCAGTAAACATCAAAATGGCATTCACAGAGCCAACAGAGGATGTGGGAATCATGAGCATTAGTTGCAAGTATTGTTAACTTTAGTAACTCCATATTTGTTAAGTTTCTCCAGTTTAGCAGGTGGTGCATTTCCTTTGTGGAATTCCTGAAAGTTGCAGTTTCTTGTCTCTGACCTTCAGATGTGTGGTTGTCTGGGTTACTACTACCCATGGTGGTTGTTTTTGTTGAGCCTGTTTGCTCTTTCCTATGTGAACTTTCATTTACTATGGTAACCCCATCCCGTAATAGTTTGTGGTTTTTTGCTTTAAAAGGCTGATGCTTGCCGGCAATAAACGCCGCCTTGATCAGACTCCTGTCTTGGCGTCCTTCCTTTTTCTCTGCCCCATCTCCACCCCGCTGCTCTTTCAGGTTTGAGGCACTGCTGGACAGTGCTCTGCGTCACCGGCTCACGACAAGAGGAATTCTATACACTGAACTTATCAAGGCAATTTCTGGCTAGCCTTAGTTAAACTGGGGTGTCTTTCCTATAAATGATTTTATTTATTTGCTGTTTATTTTTATTTCTTTCAGTAAGAGCTAGTCTTCAAAAACTCTAGTCTCATCTCAACTCAGGGCAAAATGAAATGTCCTACCTCTCTAGGATTACTAAGGGTACCAGATTACTCAGCCAAGAAATGGAAGGGTAACAAGTTTGTTTTAGAATGTGTCTCCCACAGGCTCATGTGGCAATGCCCTGTCCTAGCTGTGGTCCACTCTGCTGCCATTCAGCCACCTCCTTGGTCTGTAGCTTCCTCCCTTCCCCTGTTATTCTACCAAGAACTAGTTCTCAGCTCTCCGCTCTGCTCACTTTGTATTCTCTGCCTTTTATGATGTGTGAGCGTTGAAGAAATACCTGTCATCCCACAGACATGCTGGTATGGAGAAATACTCCGACAAGTGCTTTCAACACGTAAAGTACTTAGCACAGTCCCTCGCACACATGAAATACTGGGGAAGCACCAGCTGATAGTACAACTTCTACTGGAAATTAGCTTCTGCTCCAGGACCCACTATGTGATCTGTGGAAGCTCTTGAGCTTTGTCTTTCAGATCTTTTATACTCGCTGAAATACAACTTTACAATCACTTTTCCAGCTCAGTCTAATTAGTAAATACAGGCAAACAAGACGCGACAGATGTCACATGCAAGAGTCCATGAAAACCATGAAATGATGCTCAGATGTAAGGCTCTGCACTAGTTTATATAGTTCCATACCAATGACTTCAGGTGTCCAGAGCTGTCTACTTCACACTTCTACTGAATGCGAAACAACTCAATAGGAGATTACCAATTGAAGACTATTATACGTGAAAGGGGGAAAATGTCAATAATGTAAGCCATTTAGAGGCAACTGTGTAAATGAGACAAACTAGACATCTTTGGCAAGTAAAATACCACAAGGTTCAGAAAACCTCCAGATTAGTTATACTACTTTAACTACAAGAATAAAGAGAGCAAAATACAGAATAAATCACACTAAGTGGAGCTAAAGGTCTCACAGCTACATTCCCATCTGTCTTGGCAATGCAACACGGACAAAAATATAAAGCAAACCACAGCTATAAGTGGCTCACATATAGTTAGATCTCCTTGCAGAGAAGAGGCTTCTAGAAGGGACGAGTGTTTCATGTTATGAATGGAAGGGGAAAAATCTGTGTTTTGTAGTCAGGATTAACCTGAGCCCACATGCTCAAGAGAGTCCTGGGCCCCCCACCCTGTGCTTCTGCCCCAGGGAGTGTTCAAGTCATTGCCAATAAAAAGCCATGCTGTTACCTAACCCAGGATAGGACAGTGGCCCAACCCACTGCATCACTCTTTAAAAGGAACACCCCAAAACAAGGAAATCTGGACTGAGGAAAGAGATTTCATTTCCCGGGGTCCTGGGTGGGGTGGGCACAATTAGGTTCTGAACTATCTCCCTTTTTCTATATCCCCTGGAAAGAAGGTCTGTCAACCATCTCTGGCTGGCACATGTTCCTTCCATGTCATTCGAGGTGTCAAATCCATAATGACACTGCCCCTGAAAATCTGGCTCCTGGTGGAGAATTCCTACTTCAGATGCATCATTAACATCTCCTATCACTTTGCTGTCATACTTCAGAGTTGTCACAGCTCCCTGTATCTCTAGTCACCAGCACTATCATTGTTTTTTTTTAAAGTCTCAGGCAATGACATGCTCATTACCTACCATCTCCTCTTTACAGCACAAAGGATGGCTCTAGAAATTAGCAACCAGCCTACCCTCCTCAACATCAATTTATATCCTCCAACCCACCCAATGCAATTTTGCTAGATTAGTCTTCCTAAAATAATGCTCCTTTTTGTTTTTTTGTTTTTTTATGGGGGTGGTCTTTTGGTTTTTGTGGGGATTATTTTAGGGGGAGAGGGAGAAGAGGATTGAGTTCCGGGCCATGTATATGCTAATTACTCACTATCACTGAGCTCCACCCCCAGACCTAAAACACTTTTCTGATGGTACTGTTGTCACCACTGTCCAACTGTTTGCTTTCTTTACCCCAAAACAAAACAA